GAGTGAGCATGGATCCCGAGAAGATCAAAGCAGTGGTGGATTATCCTGTCCCTGGAAATGTTAAGGAAATGCAACAATTTGTTGGATTTGCCAACTTTTATAAGAAATTTATAAGAAACTTCTCTAAGGTAATAGCACCAATTACACACCTGGCAAAGAAAGGAGTGCCCTTTGTATGGTCACCTGAGGCACAGACTGCATTTAACAAGCTCAGGACTCTCTTCACTTCTGCACCAATATTGGTACATCCAGATCCTGAACTACCTTTTATTATGGAAGTGGATGCCTCTGACTCTGCCATGGGAGCTATACTTGCAGCTTCATCCCTGTGCATATTTTTCTCGCTTGATGTCTCAGCTAAAAAGAATTATGACATTGGGAATAAGGAGTTGCTGGCAATTAAGGAAGCTTTTTCCGAACAGAGTCATCTGCTGGAAGGGGCTAAGCATCCTGTGACTGTTCTCATGGTTCATAAAAATCTAGAATTCATCCGTTCTGCCAAGAGATGGTCTTCTACACAAGCACGTTGGTCGCTGTTCTTTGCCAGGTTTAATTTTATTATCTCATATCTGCCTGCGTCAAGTAATGGCAAGGCTGATGCTTTATCACGGATGTTGTCTGGGCCTCTCCAGGAAAACAACTCTGAAGGCACGATCCTGCCTCAAAAGAACTTTCTAGGGTCCATAAGTTCGAAGGGATTCTTGAATCTTCTCAAAGAGGGGTATGCTAATGACCCACTTCTCAATCATCCACCTAAGTATAATTACCTGGCTTATAGGAATGGCTTTTGGATTCAAGGGCATCATCTCTACGTACCTGAATCTGCTCGGGTTGAAGCCCTCAGGTTGGTTCATGATTCCAAACTTGCTGGGAATTTTGGGGTTTCTTACTTGGGGGTGTCTTACTAAAGAACTTTTATCACGTTCCTTCTGGTGGCCTGGTTACAAGAAGGATGTCAAATGCTATGCGGCCTCGTGCCTGACCTGTGCACGCAAATAAAACTCCCCAAGCTTCTCCTTTGGGGTTGCTTCAGCCACTCCCTGTTCCATCAAGACCATGGGGGTCAATTTCTATGGACTTTGTGATCAATTTACCTCCCTTAAAAGGAATGACCACCATCTTGGTAGTTGTTGGCCATCTTACAAAGATGGCTCATTTTATGTCAGTTAAGGGGGTGCCCACTGCTGAACGAACTGCAGAAATGATGGTTCGAGAAGTCTTTAAAATGCATGGAATCCCTGATGATGTGGTGTCTGACAGAGGAGTGCGGTTTACTTTGAAATTCTAGAAAAGCTTTTGCTTAGCATTAGGTGTTACATTTAATCTATCCTCTGCTTTTTATCCCCAGTGTAATAGTCAGACTGAGAAAACCAATCGAGCTCTGGAGCAGTATCTTCAATGATTTGTCACTTATCTTCGGGATGACTGGGTGGACTGTCTTCCTACAGCAGAGTTTACATATAACAATTCTAAACATAGTTCCACTTCTCAAAGTCCCTTTTACTTAAACACCGGTTATCATCCAGTTTTTATTCCTAATCTCCTTATCACAACTCCAATTCCTGCTGTTACCAACAGACTAACTACATTGCAGGAGATTCAGGAGAAATTGATTGAGACTTTAAGGGAAGCTCAGGAATGTTACAAAAAGGCTGCTGACAGACATCACAGATCACTTCCTACCATTTATGTGGGTGACAAGGTTTGGTTATCAACTAATAATTTGAAAGTTCATGTTCCTTCTGCAAAGTTGGGCCAAAGGTTTGTGGGTCCTTTTCAGATTTCTTCTCAAATCCACCCAGTCACCTTTCATTTAAAACTTCCTGACAGTATGAAGATTCACCCTGTTCTTCACATATCCCTACTCAAACCGTTTCATGAAAATCCTTTCTCTGGAAGAATTCTTCCACCTCCTTCACACGTTGAGGTACAGGGTGAAGAAGAATTTGTGGTGGAGATCATTCTTGATTCCAGGATCTTTAGGAACAAATTACAATATCTTGTCTCTCCTGCTGCCTTCTGTACCTTCACTGTACCTTTGCTCCTTTGCTACCAACCATTGGCTTGTACTTCAACTACATTTCTGCCTCATCCCAACCTACAACCACTTGTTACCGACCTTTGGCTTGTTTACTGACTACACGTTTGCTTCATCCCTACCTGCCGAATCTGTTACTGGGTCCTGGCTTGCTCACCTCCTGGTGGGGTGATCCTGAAAACTGTGATCTGGTACTAACACGCAGCAAAACCCAACTCCACCATAAGGATCTTTGATGAATACTGGTTAGTGCTTAGACCCCGCACCTCCGGTGAGCCTGTGTCATCTGTCAGGGTGACCTGCATGTATACCTATCCTGTTGGTTGGTCTGCTGCTATAGCTACTGGTCTCCGAGCCTGACCTCTGACCGTGACAGTTATGCTGTGACAAAAAATAAACCTGGAAGCTGATTGGTTTCTATGCAGAGCTGCACCAGATTTTGCACTCCCTAGTTTTAGTAAATCAGCCCCTAAGTCTCCATGCCTGAGGCTATCCACCACCAAGCCAAAGGAACCACAGCTGAGGGTCAATGGGTAAAGGTCCTTTTATTGGTATACCGTTCCTCTCTCCTAAATCGACTCCTTAGTATATTTGTTGAAGTGTCCCCAATTGCTGCTCAACAGGAGAGGAATTCTGGTAAGATGGCTAAAAGATGTATACTGTACTTTTGCTCTGCAACAAAATGACTGCTGCAGGATGTATTTTTATGCAAGTGGCATTCTGTACCGAAGAGTCTGTCAGTATATTGAATGTGATATGTCACAGGAAGAGATGTGAAGTTGCAGTAAAGTGCTGAAAGAGCATCTGTGTAGATATTCCTTTATTTCAAGAGTTAGGCCTCAGGGTGGGAATGTATGTGTAGGATTCTGGCCAGGAGACATGTGTCCAATATGGTGACTACAAAAGTTGGGAGGTAGGTGCTCTATCCAGGATTGGAACTCTTGGCCCCAACATCTGCCCAATCACAGACTCCCTACAGACTCCTCCATGCCAGTTTTCAGGGCTACAGTGGGATTAGCAGTAGATGAGTAGGAAGAAAAGGGCGAAATTGCAGCTGTTGTGAAGAATGGTTGCTCCACACCAGAAGGGAAGAAGATAAGGAAGGCTTGGTGAGCCACTCAACTACCTCCTCTGTGTGCTATAGCTGTTATAGCATGGTCAGGAAAAGGCAGACCTGCCCTACATCTCGATGGTGTGACTCGACCATAGGGCATGCTCCCCCGCTAATAACTAATAGAACTTCTATGACTTGGTTTAGGTCAGTTTTAAATTTTGAATACAGGTTATTGATAGCTATGGCAGGAAGGAAGGATGTGGTGTTTTGGTGCACTAAAGAGTAGTAATTTGGCGCCCAAACCTTTATCAGTTGCTGCAAACAAAGGGCAACTTTGCATGTGTCAGGAACGAGTTCACGCTATTGACTCCATATTTAAAAATTTGGACCTAGTAAAATTGACCTCACGGGTTTAGAGCTATAGAAATCCTTGCTGAGGTATTGGGTAAGCAGAGGATTCGTGACTATCTGATACTGATACTTAAAGTGGTTGTAAAGGCTCAAGGTTTTTTACCTTCATGCATTTTGTGCATCCCCACCCAATACTTACCTGAGCCCAATCCCGATCCAACGATTTGCACAAGAGCAGCAGCTCTCCGGGGAATCTCCCTCCTCATTGGCTGAGACATCAGCGGGAGCATAATGGATCGGAGCCCGATCCATTATCCTCCCCAATCCGCAGATCCGATCCATCCTGCGGGGATCATCGGCAACCTTTACAGGGTTAACTGATCTCTCCACGAGCTCCACGAAAAGGTAAGTTTTAAAGCAAACTGACTATCCCCGGGCAATAGGGGATCATGGGGCCCCTGTGTCCTCATCCACACTCAAACCACACCCAAAAAAGCCTATGAAAGGTACCAGGGGCCAGGGGTGTCCCTGGGTTGGTGTCACCCGGTGCCAGAACACTTGGTGACACCCCCTCCAATGATCCCCGCAGGATGGATCGGATCTGCGGATTGAGTATAACGGATCGGAGTCCGATCCATTATCCTCCCCAATCCGCAGATCCGATTCATCCTGCAGGGATCGTCGGCTTGCAACCTATACGGGGTTAACTGATTTCTCCACGAGTTCTACGAAAAGCTAAGTTTTAATGCAAGCCGACGATCCCTGCAAGATAGATCGGATCTGCGGATTGGGAGCATAATGGATCGGACTCTGATCCATTATGCTCAATCTGCAGATCTGATCCATCCTGCGGGGATCGCCGGTTTGTTTTTAAACTTAGCTTTTCGTGGAGCAGGTCTAGTGTCACCCTGTGCAATAGGTGTCACCCGGTGCGCTCCCCCCGCACCTGCCTAGGGACACCCCTGCCAAGGGCATCTCATGGGGCCCCCTACTGACTCCGGACCCTCAGGCAGTGCCCAAATGATCAGTCCGCCCCTGTGTAAGTCTGATTCCTGGGGGTCTGTCGCACTGTCATTTTTTGGAGTTATCTGGAGCAGGTTTTATCTTCAAGCACTTATAAGCACATTATTGGATTTGAACTGTCACATTACAAAGACTCATTTATCGTTTATTTTATGATAGCACGCATTGATTTTTCTTTTTATTATCCTTTAACCACTTGCCCCTCCAGAGGATTTACCCGCCTTCCTGACCAGGCCATTTTTTGTGTTACGGCTCTGCGTCACTTTCACTGACAATTGCACGCTGCACTGAAATTAAATTATGTCCTTTTTTTCCCCACAAATAGACCTTTCTTTTGGTGGTATTTGATCACCTTTTTATTTTTTTGAGCTATAAACAAAAAAAATAAATACTTTTGAGAAAAAAAAACTATATTTATGACTTTTTGCTATTACACGTCCAATAAAAAAATGTAAAAAGTTAAATTTCGTCATAAATGTAGGGCAAAATGTATCTCTGCTCCGTGTCTTTGCTACAAAAAATCCCCAATACGTGTAAATTAATTGGTTTACATGAAAGTTAGCGTTTACAACTGGCGGCATATATATTGGAATTTTTTTTTCTACTAGTAATAGCGGCGATCATCGACTTATAGCGGGACTGCAGCGGGCATTCTGTGACTGGGGGGAGCTGACTTGGTGTCACTGACATCCCCAGTGACACCAATACAGTGATCAATGCTAATAAAAATCACTGACACTGTACTAATGGCACTGTTCAGGAAAGGGTTAACATCTGGGGCGATCAAAGGGTTAACTGTGTACTGTGTGTGTTTTCCTATCAGGCTGTGTATGTACTTTCCACTGTAAGCATACTGCTTTGTATGACTCTGCTATGCAGAGCCATACAAAGCAGTGTGCTGGAGCTGACAGGGGAGAGATCTGTATTGTTTACATACAATTCTCTCCCCCCCGTTGGTATTACTTGACGATCACTAGGTGCCGGCAAGTAATCACCGGCCGGGACCCGGTAACTGACTGCCACGGCCGCAAATGTCAGTGTGCGTAGGGTGTGCGCAGCTCGCGCACGCCCTCTGCCCGGAAATGCGAACTCACGTATATATACGTGATTTTGCGCTCCCTTGCCGCTCTGTAGCAGTATTTCTGCTGTAGAGCGGCGGTAAAGCGTTTAAAAAACGGGGTATGATCTTAAGAGGGGGTATGATCCCCCACAGTTATTGCCTTTGTACCACTAGCCCCTCTCTCCTAGATTGTAAGCTCCCAAAATCAGGGCCCTCCTACCCCTCTTGTATTGAACTGTATTGTTGCTGTATTGTCTCCCGTTATATTGTAAAGTGCTGAGCAAACTGTTGGTGCCATAAATCCTGTATAATAATAATAATAATAATAATAATAAATAATAATAATAATAAATCCTGTATAATAATAATACTAATAAATCCTGTATAATAATAATAATAATAATAATAATAAATCCTGTATAATAATAATAATAATAATAATAATAATAAATCCTGTATAATAATAATAATAATATTATATATATATATATATATATATATCTGTAATATGGGTAGAGTGCACAACGATGATCAATCACAGTGAACAGTTTTATATCAATAAAAGTTTTTTATGTGCAGCAATCCAGTGAGATATATATATATATATATATATCCTAGATTGTAAGCTCCCAGGATCAGGCCCTCCTATCCCTCTAGTATTGAACTGTATTGTTGCTGTATTGTCTCCCGTTATATTGTAAAGTGCTGAGCAAACTGTTGGTGCCATAAATCCTGTATAATAATAATAAATAATATTGATCGTGATATACCGATTTTTACATGTTGATTGTAGCATTGAGAGGAAACCATTCAACCTTAGGTCTCTAAATAAGACATGTGGCCACACAATGAAGTTGGATTAGAAGCGGTTCAATCTAAAACTGCATAGGGGGTTCTTTACTGTTAGAGCAGAAGGGATGTGGAACTTCCTTCCACAGTTGGTGGTGCCAGCAGAAGTGTAAATAAATTTAAAAAACTGTGTTTTTTGGAGAACACAATGTACAGGGGTGTGGAAAATGGTAGCAACTTTATTAAATACTGAAAATCTTCATTTTCTGATGAATCTGACATTATAATATTCCTAGATTGTAAGCTCCCTGGATCAGGGCCCTCCTATCCCTCTTGTATACCTCTTAGAATGTAAGCTCCAAGGATCAGGCCCTCCTATCCCTCTTGTATTGAACTGTATTGTTGCTGTATTGTCTCCCGTTATATTGTAAAGTGCTGAGCAAACTGTTGGCGCCATATAAATCCTGTATAATAATAATAATATTTCTGCTTGCAGTATACAGTTTCAGAATTTAGTTTTAAGGTCTAATGTGCAACTTTTTGCATGGCAATATGTCCTAAAAATAGAGAAAGCATTAGTGTGGGTCTTTGCAGGACAGGGAGGATGAGATATGTCACGGTTCATACCAATTACCAGGACAGGAAGGAGGATGAGTATATAAATTGCCCAGTGCAACCATTGAGCAGGTAGCACAGCAGTAAGGAGAGGAAGAAGGACGAGTCTATAGATAGAGTCTTGTATACAATGATCAGGCAGAGCAGGGAGATGACCAGCAATGACCATGTAGATGTCCCAGTGCATACACTGAATGGACACAATGGTGGGGAGTGCTGGGAAAAAATGACATTTCAGTTTGGAGACTTCACACCGGATGCTACAAATGGGCACAGCAGCTACAGCCTGGGCACGGTGCTGTGCGTTATCACAGGGGCCTCCCGGGGATTTGGCAGGAGCCTGGCATGGGAACTGTGCCCCAGAGTGACACCAGGCTCTGCCCTGCTGCTGGTGGCCCGCACAAAGCAGGCGCTGAGTGTCTCTTGGCTGAGGAGCTGACACTTCAGTACCCAGACATTGAGGTGAGATGGGTGGCAGCAGATCTGGGCACAGCAGACGGGGTGAAGAAGACGGTGCAAGCTGCACAGGAGCTGAACGGACGGGACACAGCACAAAGGATCCTCATTATCAATAACGCAGGTAAAGACGAAAAACTGCTTATAGCTACCAATATTGTAAAATTATTAAAAACCTGTTTCTTCTCAATGGACCAATATTGTAACAATACTGTATTCCGATAAATGTATTTCATACCACTGCTTTTTTTCAACTACTTTGTATGAGATGCAATGCTCCTCTAATGCTTCCCCAATGATAGCATCTCGAAATACTAAAAACTTAGAGGGTTAATATCTGTTAAATTTTTGTGTGCCCTATGATGGTATCTCTGATCTCTGATGTCCTTAAAGTGTTATTAACCCCTTCCAGTCCGGACACTTTCACCCCCTTCCTGACCGGACACTTTCACCCCCTTCCAGTCCGGACACTTTCACCCCCTTCCAGTCCGGACACTTTCCCCCCTTCCTGTCCCGGCCAATTTTCAGCTTTCAGCGCTATCACTTTATTGTCAATTTAAATGACAATTGCGCGGTCATGCAACACTGTACCCATATGAATCTTTTAGCAATTTTTTTGAGACAGATAAAACTTTATTTTGGTGGTGTTTATTCACCACTGGGATTTTTTTTTATTTTTTTCCTATATAAATGAAAAAGTCCAATTTTTTTTTTTTAAAAAGTGTTTTTCTTTTATAATTTTGCAAATAAATGAGCTTTCTTCATAAATCTTGGCCAAAATGTATTCAGTTATCTTTTTAGTAAACAAAAACAACCCAAATTAGTTTATAACCAAAAATTATAATTTTTTAAAATTTTTGTTTACATTTTTATTTTATTTTTTTATATTATTATTTGTTTTTTTGTTTTTTTACATACTGTCACCCTAGCAGTTACAGTGTCACCATTGTGACACTTTACTATTCGTGGGGGGGTGATGAAGATTTTTTTTTTTTTCTTTATTTTACATTGATTGCTTTTATACCCATAAAGGCTGTAAAAGCAATCATTTCTCCTTCTCTCTGGCTGCATTCTTGCAGCCATTGAGAAATACTGTGTAAGCTGTGATTTGTCACAGCTTGTCACATGGTACAAGGCTGTTGTGTATAGCCTTGTACCATGTGACCTCTGTGATCATTCACAGATTTCACACGTAGTAAGCAATGATGTCAGAAGATACATCTTGCTTACTACTCTTCATGTGATCACTGATTAGCCAATCAGTGATCACATGATCAGGACCTCACACATAGGTCCCGAACAGCGATCGGTGTTCCACTGTGTCCGGAGGACACGGCAGGCACCGGACCGCGGTGCTGCGCGCTCCCAGGGAGCGCGCACAAGCAGGGGGCCGGGAGGCCATTTATAAACAGCCACCCGTCCCTGCACTGCTCTCATCCAGCCGTTTATATACATGGACTGGACGGGAAGTGGTTAAACCCAAAAGCAAACGTTTGTTATTTTGCAGATTACCAGTTCTTAGATGTGATGGCTGCATTAGTTTTTCTTTAGGCTTCCTTTCCTTCAAGGGATAAGTTCACATTTGGAACATGTTAGGGTTTTTAAGGTGGTACATGTAACATGTTCCCATAGCTGCAGGTGCGCCCGCCCCCCCCCTCTGACAGATAGTACGGGGAAACTTCACCCCATACTATCTGTCAGATTTGAAATCAGTGCGGCCGTATGGCCACATCATTCATTCATAGACTTGAATGAATGAACTGCAAGTCCTGGCAGCCTTAGCGGCTGCGGGTTTGTAGTTTTCAATGAACTACCACGCTGTGGAGTGGAGTGTCAGTATATCTGCTTGACCGTACATCCCATACATCCCATATGGCAAACAGATATTCTGACAGGTCTGCAGGAGACCTGCATGGCATCAGCTATCTACTGATCCCTGGTACAATGCTTTCCATGCTCCTGCAGCCAAAAATAATACATGCATGTTTCTTTACCGGCAAAAAAATGTGCATTTATTATTTTTGCCCAAAAGATGAACTTATCCTTTATCCTCTCTAGCAGTCTGATTATGTCACTATTTCTGTGCTCAAAGCGGTACATTTTTTTGCATGGAAATATGTTGTTTTTTTATTATAGACCTGTAATTCTTAGGAATAACTCACTGAAATCTGTCCGAACAAGAGTCTAGTAAACATCCCGGGTAGGATAAAATTTGAAACACGAAATCATAAATTATAATAAATAATCATAAAAAAATAATAATATAATAATAATACATTTAATTCAATAATGTAATCAAACGAAAAACACTGAAATTTGAAATATAGCGCCAAGTTCGCACATCGCTGAGCAAAGTCGCAGAATTGTTTTCAGTGTCTGATGAGGAATTTCCCCCACGAATCATTATCACTCAATTCTGCAAGTGGTTCTGATTTACTATCGCTGTTCTCTAGCCGGTCTAAAACCGCTTTTGACCTAAAGGGACGCTTTTTGGACGCCATGGACGTTTCTCAGTTTCCAGGCAGAAAGAACGTAAAAATGCAGGCAGGGCGCAGGACAAAGCACTCGGGACAAAATGTATGTGAAATGGTTTGATACAGGAATGTTATACTATGTGATTTTAGTGTATTATGTGTTTGTAAAATTTTGACATTTTTCAATTTCCCACCGGTTCCATTCCCCATACGTCCTGTACGTCGCAACGCTCGCAGGGATCCGGAAGACAGATGCCGGCATCGGCTGGAGGACATGGCCGGGGACACTGCAGGGGGGACATCGCGGGAGTGCAGGACAAGGTAAGTGAAACAGGGATCACAGAGCAACACTGCAGTGTATTCCCGAGTGTAGCTCGGAGTTACCGCTTCTGGTACAGAAAGTTTACCCCGAGCTACACTCGGGAATACCGCCAGGGAGGTTAAGGGATAAGTTCACCTTTGGAACATGTTAGGGTTTTTAAGGTGGTACATGTAACATGTTTCCATAGCTGCAGCTGCTCCCGCTGCCCCCCGACAGATAGTACGGGGAGAAGTTTCCCCGTACTATCTGTCAGATTTGAAATCAGCGTGGCCGTATGGCCACATCATTCATTCATGGACTTGAATCAATGAACTGCAAGTCTTGGCAGCCTTAGCAGCTGTGGGTTTGTAGTTTTCAATGAACTACCACGCTGTGGAGCGCCGTGGTAGTTCATTGAAGCTTTCTGTCAGTATATCTGCTTGACTATACATCCTGTACATCCCGTATGGCAAACAGATATTCTGACAGGTCTGCAGGAGACCTGCATGGCATCAGCTATCTACTGATCCCCAGTACAATGCTTTCCATGCTCTTGCAGCCAAAAATAATACATGCATGTTTTTTTACGGCAAAAAAAAATGTACATTTATTATTTTTGTCCAAATAGGTGAACTTATCCTTTAACCTCCCTACCGGTATGATTATGTCAGTATTTCTGTGCTCAAAGCGGTAAATTGTTTTCAATGGAAATATGTTGTTTTATATTGTAAACCTGTAATTCTTAGGAATAACTCACTGAAATCTGTCCGAACAAGAGTCTAGTAAACATCCCGGGTAGGATAAAATTTGAAACACACGAAATCATAAATTATAATATAATAAATAATCATAAAAAATAATAATAATAAATGTAATCAAACCAAAAACACTGAAAATTTGAAATATAGCTCCAAGTTCGCACATCACTGAGCAAAGTCGCAGAATCGTTTTCAGTGTCTGATGAGGAATTTCCCCCACGAATCATTATCACTCAATTCTGCAAGTGGTTCTGATTTACTATCGCTGTTCTCTCTAGCCGGTCTAAACCCGCTTTTGACCTAAAGGGACGCTTTTTGGACGCCATGGACGTTTCTCAGTTTCCAGGCAGAAAGAACAGTAAAAATGCAGGCAGGGCGCGCCGGACAAAGCAGTAGGGACAAAATGTATGTGAAATGGTTTGATACAGTAATGTATCAATGATCAGCTCTGAATAATTTATTTATTTAAAACTGTTATCCCACATTGACTACCTGTGGCTTATTTACTTTAAAAAATCCAAATTCCAATTGCAGATTGAGGACCCCAATCCCAAGAGACCAAATTTAGAAACCAAAAAATTCATTATAGAAATAGCACAGTAAGAAGTATTAGTTTATTAGTTGTGTGGGGATATGTCACAGGTTTTTAAGGGCAGTTTGAAGGACTTTAACAATGGCATCCTCAGTTGACCTGTTTGGCCAGCATACACACTGAAAGGGATCTAACCCTACTGGTATGTTTCCTTTTAAACTTTTATTAGACTAGTGTAGAAGAGATGTGTTGGCAAATGCTAAAGCAACTAAACCATACTAACCCAACTTTCTTGAAAACCCTTTCCCCCCAGACTCTGCCTCTACCAACAATGGAGAACACACCGTTGGAGTAAAAAATGGCCTTCACCGCCTTTTATTAACAATTCAACTTAAATCACAAAAAACATTCCTTAAAACAGAAACATACATAAACCTACAAGATGAGTTGTTGGTCTAGGAAGGCACCACAAACAATATTGATCTCCCCTGCGGAACCTTAACCTTAATACTCATACTAGGCCTCCAGCCACAATGCAGTGACTCAGAGACAAAGACACTTTCCACAGTGTAGAACCTCCACCTTCCAGTTAAACCTTGGTTAACTGGAATGCACCCGGGCACACCATACCACAGATGGGTCCCAACAATACACTATTTCTTAAAACAATTTTCTGCCTCCCAAGACCAACAACTGCCCCCAAAACGAAACCAATCAAGCATGGAAAGACCCAAAAAACACCCCAGGGGAGGGCGGGTGGGAAGTTTCCTCTTCAGCTGCTATACCAGCAGTGGGATCGTCCGACCCCCCAACACTCCCCCAAAATCATCAATGATCCCACCCCGTGCTACTATTCCCAATCAGGTAACCTTCCTGTTTTAACCCTTCCCCCTTAACTTAACCCCTTCCTGTCTTTCTTTCCCCTCTTCAGCTAGTCATGTCTGCCCTATACTATTCTATTCTTTTCTTTTCGCTATGGGCACCACTTAACTGTCACAGTAGGATAACCGTTCAGACTGGACACTGTGGTTTTTTCAGGCTCAGGGACAATTTTTGACA